CCTCCTTGCTCCCAACTGCTCCCAGCCACCACCCCCTGCTGCTCCCATTGGCCGTGATTCTGGCCAATGGGAGCAGTGGGAAAAGCCTCCAGGTGAGCAGTTTCCCAATCTGCTTTCTCCCTTTGTACGCTGGATCCAGCCAGCAAGTCCCACCCCCCCTGCAGCGGGTCTGTGGCCCACCTACAAGACACTTGTGGACCATTAGTGGTCCATGGATCACACTTTGAGAACCACTGCTCTAGGCTGTCCCTGGAGGGCAGCAGCAGCAGCCTCCTCTGGGCGTCCCCTGGAGAGGGACCCCTCTCTGCTGACGCCAACAATCTCTGAAAGGCTCCAGCTCCACTCCCATGGGAGCCCCCCAGAGCAGGGGGGCCTGGAGGAAACGCCCCTTGGAGACACGAGGGGGTCTCCCCCTTAGAGCAACTGTGCCAGACCCCCCCCAGACTCAGGCACGTGCCCTTACACCAGGATCCAGACTTCTGCACCCTCTCCGCCATCGCTTCCCGCTTCCCGAGAAGACACCCCCCCAGTCCCAGGGAGGGAGGGGGCCTGGCTATCACTCACCATCGCTCTTGGGGTTCCCCAGCACCTTCATGACCTCGGCATTGGTGGGGTTCTGGCCCAGGGCCCGCAGCACGTCCCCACACTGGCTTAGCTGGATCTTGCCGTCCCCAACCCGGTCGAAGAGCTGAAAAGCCTCCCTGTAATCTGGGGGGGTGGAGCGGAGCAGGTCAGAGGGGCTGGAACCCCACAGCCTCGGCCTGTCTAACCTGCCTGCTTCATGCCAGGATCGGGGCCAGACTGGAGGGGGGGGCACAGCCCGGTCCAGATCACCCTTCCTATTGGCATCCAGTTGTAACTGGGGCTACGCCCCGGCGCAAAGCCCAGGAATCGCCAACCCCAGCAGGAGCCGGGGTCCTCACCCCGAGACCTGTGTCCCCCCATCCCAAGGGACACCATCCTGTATGGCCCCCGCAGGGAGCATCACAGAGATGCAGCCACCTCTGGGGAGGAATGCGGCAGCGGCTAAGCAATACCACCCACGCACCGCAGGACAGGAAGTGACGCCCACATCTGTGTTGGATTGCAACTACCGGGGCCTGGCTGAACGAATGCCCAATTATGACGCTGGGCCCAGGTTAACGCCTCTCCCAGCGTGGCCGTGGGATGGCTCCTTACCACACGAGGGCACCAGAGCCTGCTGCTGCAGCAAGGCTGAGGGAGGGCTCCTTTCGCTCGCATGGCCAGGGTGGTGGCTTTGGCGCAGAAGGCCAGAAGTTCAAATCCCAGCTCCTTGCGGCAGGCCTAGAGATTTACCCTCCAGGTTGGGATCAGTTTCTGGGGGGGCCCCTCCAGGCTGAGAGCTCTCTGTGGCCAAAGCCCAGCACCCCCCCGCAGGCTGGTGCCATGTAACCAGGCACCAGGAGAAGATGCCCCAGGCAGGAAACAGCTGGATGTAGTGGGGGCAGGCTGGTGGAAGTGCTGCCCTGCCACGCATGGCTTACCTTCCAGCTCCTCCTTGTTAAACTCAATCTGCAAAGAGAGAAATGGATGTTAACTAAGACAGGGGAGCTGCACAGTCTGTTACGGACCTGGGCCCGGGCAACACGCTCTGGGGCAGAGCCAGGGCCCGATCCTGCTACATGCCTCATGGCAGGGGGGTGCCTCGGTCATTACCTGCCTGACCATAGGCTCTGTGGGGCTGCCAGCCATTGGGGAAATGCAGCAGCCAGTGCTGGCCTTTGGGAGGTGGGGCAAGCCATGGGTCTGCTGTGAGCTCCTCCCCGCTTCTGGTCTGCAATGTGTCCCATGGCATAGGGGTCAGGTGGGGGGCAGGATGGGTGTGATGCTGATGGTGAAAGGGCCTGTAAGTTTTGATCCAGATCAGATGAGGGCTGAGTCTGCTCCTGCCCCAGCTGGGGGGCTGTGGGGATGGGGATGGGGCAGAGACCCTGGCTCAGGGTCATAGGGACACCAGGCCCGGTCTCGGCCAGCAGGGGGCGCTGGGCTGGGCATGCAGCTGAATACATATAAGGGCCTGATCGCCCCCTGGTCACACTCTTTATAGGGGCCCTACCTCACTGCCTCAGGAATTTTGCTGCATTCTGTCCCCTGCACAGAGGCCTGGCGGGTGGGGCTCCCCGGCCCCCGTCATCGCAACCCGACCCCCTTCACACAGAAGGTGGCGGCCTGGCAAAGCAGTGCCCGGCGCTGGGGCTGAAATAAATCTGCCTGGAAAAAGGGATGCTAATCCCCCCACCCGCGGCCACCTGTCCCCGAGCCGGCTGCCTGGGAAGGCAGGCCCATTCCAGCCCTGTCATTAAAATAACAGGGGCCTGCTCACTGGCTAAATTTATCCTGGCCTGAGGCCAG